GTATTGACGCATCTTGTTTTTTTTCTGAATTTTCAATTATTATTGATCTAAACACTGATAAAATTGTTATGAACAAGTATTAATTCACAAATTATGATCTTCAACTCTATTCATGTTTAGATATGAAGCTTCTCAAAAATGGCTCAAAAGCTAATTTATCTATGTAATGTTCTCAATCATGAAATAGACAGTATCGATTGAATTCGGTGGCTATTCATCAGATTAAGTCTTTATAATAATTATTCACTGCGTCAATACGTATTAGTTAGATGATCAGAAGATAGGTAGTTTCTCGAAGATTCAATACTTTAGGCATCCAGTGCGTGCTATAAGCAATAAATCAAGGAAAACTAAGAGACGTCAAGGTAGTTACAGTTGATTAGATTTTCTAGAACCCTCTTTATCAATTATATTGATAGAAATATGACTTTTATATTTATTGATTCAGTGATAATGTTTTGTCCAATATAGCGGAAAGCTGAGATGTTGTAACTTGTAAGATTTATTTATTCACATTATATTCATATTAGTACTGTCAATTATTTGTGAAAGTTAAATTCTTTTTTAAAAAACAATTGGCAAATAGAGCTCTAAAAATGTTTTAAGTCCTGTATTTCTCATATTTTCCTATTCAACAAAGTTCTAAATTATGAAGCTCATCTTTGGCTATTTTTCGTACCTATCGACTTGATTACTGTAAGATGACCTGCAGGTTTATATTGTTGAATCCTGCTTCTCGAAGATCCAGCTGTTCACATAGCATCTAGTGATACCATAACTTGCCATCTAAGGAGCATCGATTGAGAAAAAAACTTGTTGTACATGTGTAACATACACAGGAATATAAATAGAAATCACGTAGACATGTATTTTAATGAATATAGAATAAAAAAGCAAGAATGTTAATCTACTGATATTTTTCTTTTTTTTCTTCAGATTCTTGAGACCTAATATTGTGCAATGTGTGATATAAAAAATTACTTTTTTAAAAATTTAATTTTGTAGGAGTTCAATATTTTGAAGTAGACGTGCAATTAGTTGTTGCTGATTTGCCAGGAAGAGCGAAAATTAGTTGTTTAAATGGACATTCTGGTTTCTATGCCTGTGGAAATTGTTTGTTGGAAGGAATTCGATGTTTACATCATCAACATACACTGTATACTTGGCTCCATTATTCTCGAATAGAACCTGATCTTCGTACTCAATATCATATTGATGCTTGTGCTTTACAAGCAGAGCTTTCAGGCAAAAAGTATTATGGTGTTCATAGATCATCACCTTTATCTCGAGTTTTATCAATACCAGATCAGTGCGTTTATGACTACTTTCATCTCATATTTGAAGGTCATACAATAATGTTGCTCAAAGAGTGGAAACTGTTACTGAAACAAATCAATATCGCTTACATCGATGATTTACTTAATAATGTTGATTATCCACATGATTTTCATCGAAAGCCAAAAAATTTCAACTCATTTCAACAATGGAAGGGAAGTGATTTACGAACTTTTTTCCTTTATCTTGCACTTCCATTAATTATTCGACTGCAACCAGCATTGTCAAACAAGCTTATTTATCATTTTTCATTAATTCTAGTTTATGTTCGAACACTCCGTTATTTCCAGAATCATCGTCAAATTAACCACATGAAAATGTTTATAAATGAATATTTGAAAATGTTTAGTTCTATATACGGTCGTTGCCGTGAACTACTATCGACGCATATTTTAGTTCATCTTCCACAACAATGTATTAGACACGGAGCATTGAGTTTTCATAGTATGTTTCCATTCGAAAGCCAACTACATTATCTAAGAAAATTGGCTCATGGTACCAATTCACTTGCACAACAAGTCGCTTTTTGGTACACGGTTGATAAACGATTGAATATGACAAATAAGTACACTATTGATTTGCTGACTTTGCAACAGTTACGGCATGATCCTTTTTTTGATGAAGATGTTCGTATTCGTTATCAAGGTAAATTTCGACATGCATTTTACTTGTTTTTTGACCAAACTATAGACTCTTCATTGGAATATGCTTCACGTCTTCAATTTGGTATCCAACTTTATCATTCATTATCTTACAGTCGTAAGAAAAATACTGCTAGTTATAGGATTTGTGTTCCTAATAGACGCTGTAAGAATAAAATCTGTTGCGGTGAAATAGTATTCTTTTTCTCTCGTCATGAAGAAAATTTTTTGTTGCTAAAACAATTTAAATGTTCATATCGTGAATTTTCCTCGTTTATATCATATGAAAATAATGTGCAGTTTTGGTCTGATTATCTTAACCGATATTTCTTCATCGTTGAACGTTCATTGTTCGATTATGTGATATTACCATGTAGCTCTATCATTAGTAAATGTTTGTTTATTCCATTCAGTGAGAAATATTTAGTTTGTACCGAAATTGAGCATATATCTGAACATGATTAAATCAGAACAAACAATTTTTTTTTTTCATTTTAGATATATCCGCACATTTTTACTTTACTGTTTGAAGTATTCTCTTTAATAGCTGTCATCATTATTTTATGAAATGTGTACTAGTAACAATTATATCTCAAAGCAAAATCCTACATCACGTAAACATTTTCAATCTTCTCAACAATCGAATTATCGTTCTCAAAGAAACGAAGATACTGGTTTCGATGATGATTCTGATGATAATGAATGTGAGTACATCCATCATGTTTTTTTTCGATTGGCTCAAGCTAATTTAGGAAAATATTGTACTTTGGAAGTGTGAATGAAGTTCCTTGTTCAATATAGATTTCATTTTTTCGATTTACAATGAATATGGTGAATACCAGGAACCAAGTCGTATGCTTCAAGAGTGATCTTATAGCTTTGAATCGATAAGACTTTAAACGAATATTTTGAATGAAAGAACATTATTTTTTTCTCATTTTTAAAATAACACTAGTAAAGATATAAATCCTTTTATTTTTTGTAATCAAGTACAAGAGCTGCATGGAAAATATTGTGTTGAATAAGTAATTAAAAGTTCCAAATTTATATTTTTCTAAATTTCCAAAACATTTCAAAGAGTTCAGTTTTGTCTAAAGTACATACGAATATATGCATATACGATCTTTCTAATATTGATGTTTGTTGGGCATACAGTGAGCTTCTCGTAATTGTAAATGATAACTTTAGTATATACTTCACTTTACAATTGTGTACCTTCAAAACATTTTCATTATTTTGAATTTTTCTAGACAATCAAGATATTAGTTCAACATTTTCTCAACGTACATCAACACACCAAGAAAATAATTACCGTCGATCTCGACCAGCAACTCGTTATCCTGATAGTGAGATATTGTATTTTAGATAAAAAAGTATAATGGTTTTGTTCATGTAGGTCCAATCTTATCACCATCCGTCAAACGAAAACATGGTGAAGTATCTGTAGGCGAGACACTCATTCTTGAAAAACTCGATCAAATTACTGAAAAACTTATGATACTCGATGAAAATAATGTAGGAAAAATGAAAAAAATAATGAAAACTCAAGATAAAACACAAAAAATTGTTTATCGACTTGCCTATGGACACAAATATGTAAGCAAAAGATAATTTTGTTTTCTCTTCTTTCCATTATCGACATTTATATCACCATATAAGACTGCACATGGCCAGCCAATAATTTTCACTTCACATAGAAATTTGTCGATGATTTAATGGAATTTAACTTAACATAAAACTAAACATCATAACTAGGGTTATCATTTTCTCGTTAAATTATTTTAAATTTAAATTTTAAATAAATTTAAACTCTATAAATGTATATTTGAAATAAATAAAAACTTTCATGAGAAAAAAATTCGTATTTAAAGTAAATTTTTTTGTAAATTTAATTTTCAGTGTAGATAAATTTTTTGTAAATATAAATGAAAACCCATAGTCATTACTGACAGAAGCAGTTTAGACAGATTGCATATTATTTCGCTGTATGCCCTATTTGTATAATATTTCTTTTTAAAATGTTTCGACTTATCGTCAGATCATCAACGAAGCGGATTCGAGGGCTAAGAGTCAAAGTAGTTTAGATCGAAGTTTATATAAGACAACAAGAATGACTATTAAGACAACAGTTTTAATTTCATTTGATGGGATTACTTTTGAAACTCTTATGTTTTTAAATCGATAACGTCTAGTAATGCCTTAAAATGGTGATCAGTCAGAATTTAGAACAAACTAAAGGAATTTCGAGTACAGTAAATTCCCAATGCCAGAAAATATTATGAGTTGGATTCAGCGTACTTTAGTATAATATATATTTTGAAATATTTTAGACTGCTGTTACAATTCCTCCATCATCTGAACAATCAGAACCTGTGGTAAGTGTAAAAGTACTTATTCGTCCTTTTAATAAACTTTCAGATGTATTACAGAGATTCAATGGTATAAATCTTTCTGAAGGTGCTGATCTCGAAAAACGTCCGACAGGCTTTTTATGTAAATTGATTCGTCGTTTATACACAGCCGATGAAATAGAAAAAGGAATAGTACAAGACGAACGAATAACTGCTATTAAAGGTAAATCAAACTTTTTTTTCCATGTACCCATAACTTTGTAATTTTATTTATAGAAAGTATAAGAAAATCTTATTATTCAGATGATCAGAGTAAGTTTGACGTATTTTGGAAGACAGAAGGAATTACCTCACTTCAAGGTCAGCGACGATCTCAACGAAGTCGATCCAGAAGATGACGGTAGGTAATATTAGTCGATGATATGTTAATTAAAATTTTCATTTTAGTGCAAATGAAAATGCTAATGATAATAATCAAGCAGCAAATAACAATGTACATAATTAACTATTGATAAATTATTATTCAAAGAATCGTGATGAAATTTGTTATTTGTTTAATATTATTTAACATATGAACAAGGATGTTATTATAGTTGTTTAACATTTATTTGTCTTTTTTTATCTATTATATAACTATGTTGATGAACGTCTAATACTGAAATAAAGATGAAAAAATATTCGTGAATATACTAATGATTAATAGACGCGACTTACAGGATAGAAATCTAACCAATAGAAATTTTTCTTACAAAGCGCACGTGCAGTTCGTACATGCTGTAGTACGGTATCAGTACGGTAATTTGGTACGCGTACGTCACACTCAGTACGCATGACATCACCTCTATGGTCGTCACATGTGCCAATCGTACGTGCCGTACGCGTACCAGAGTGTATGGGTAGACATGGGAAGGCGAATTTTATTCGTTATTGGTCCATTTAAATATATATCATTGAACGAAATCCATATTATTAAACGCCTCTATTCGAAATACGGTAGAGGTATAGTGAAAGATATAAGAAACAGAGATGGGCACAAGACAACTTTTTCTGTCCTGTCCTGTTGCCTCCCTTCGTCCTGGCGGGCGGCAGGACAGGATATAAATTACAGTTTTGTCCTGTGCTGCTGCATGCCAGGACAGAACAGGATAGGATAATAAGAATTCTTATCTTGATTTTCGATGACCAAAATATACATTAGTTCAATAGTTCCCTCGACTGAAGGGAGGGTGATACCAAATAAAATGCGTTTGTTTCTTTGTTTCCTTGGGGTCAAAAAACATATATGAGAGATTAGCTTATTTTAAGACTTTTCGCCGTTTTGACGGAACTTTGTTTTAGGTTATCGAGAGCCCGGAATCGGAATCCGAAATCATTTTTTTAATCGAGCTTTTAATGGTCAGGAACCGGCCAATCAGAAACGAGCTGTTTTATTGTAAGGCTTTTCGACGTTCTGATCGAACTTTGCTATAGGTTATCGAGGGCCAGGAATGCAAATCCATTATCGTTTTTCAAAATTTCGAACTATAGGGAAGACAGGTAATGCTAATGAAGCTTAGTTTGGTTTAGTTAAGGGTAGTTAAGGATATTTAAGAGCAGTTAAGACTAATTGAAACTAGCTATAAATTCAGTGGACTGATGCTGGAGCCATATGGAAAAAGTTAAATAAGTTTGCGTGTATGTTTGAATGCGATCAGATGCTCCAATATATTCTTGGAACGCCAGGTAAACTATGAAAGAAGCCTATAGTTTCAGCCTTATTGTGAAGCAACTGCATTTTGTCGTGCTTGGCTCTTGTTGAATCGCGGTTGTTGATAGTCTAATTTAAGCTAAAGAGATCTCGCCGTATGTTTATTTTGTTTAGTAAAGTTTTTGCTGCTTGGACTTTAACAAAGCAGATATTTTGGTTATCAGAGTGTCGTTCGGGCGGTATTTTGTTTGCTTTTCTCTCTTCAGTATTCAGGTGTTTAGCGTATTATGATGTTCCCCAATTCTTTTTTCTGTGGCTAAGATACCAGTTTAGAAGCTTTTTTTTGGTGTCTGAGTTTCGTGTTAGCATTTTTCATACAGTATTTGTACCCAACAACGGATTTTTTTCAAAAATAACTCTGATGTAATCGAAGGTTTCATGTCTAAAATGAACTAGGTAGTTGAACTCACTTTTCATGTTTCTTCTGTGCTGAGTTTTGGTTCGTTAACGTTGAACAATCAACCACTTGCCGGCGCTGATATTTAAGAAGAGTTGACACAGCGTATTTTATCCATACACAGTTTCATGCTAGTTTTACGGTTTCCAATTTTCAAGCAAGATTCCTGTCACTAATAATCGGAAATTTTGTGTGAACGGAGGCAAAGTATTGTTTGGACAGATTGCAGATACAAGAGGATAATACGTATAGGAGTTTGTTTAGCATGAGAATGGTAAGCCGTGAGTGGCGACCTGAAGGGGCGCCGGCGAACGACTGGCCGTTGATATCCATGTGTCAGTGCAAATGTGTGGTAGGAAAGATGTATGGAGGATATAGTATATGTTTGAGAATATTCCACTAAGATTCCGTTGAATAAGAATGGCAATATAACGCTGATTGTCTAGAGAGACTTCGAATTCTGCCAATAAGAAATACTTCACGAGAAAATCTTTGGCTTGGAAATTTTCATCGCAAATTCCCCTCATATAAATCCAACAATTTATCGAAATAAGCCGAAGCTGAATCGGCTAGCTTGTAGAAAAAGCGGGTGATTTGGGGGGAAATAGACTTAAGCACGTGAACAGCTAGTCGTGAGTGGCGCCCCAGAGGCGCCCCAAAGAACGACTAGCCGCTGACATCAATGGTTCACTACAGATGTGCTTCAGAAAACATCTGCGTAGGATCTACCAGAGTTATTGAGAATACTCCTGTTCTGTTGAGGAAGCATTGTAATATATGGCAGGTTTTCTAGAAAGACTGCAAAACTCTAGAGTTTTGGAGTACTTCACGCTGTGCCTTTTTTTAAAAATTTTCCATCGAGAATTCTTGTATGTAGAGTTGACAATTTCTTATGTAATTGTTAAGATAGTTGCTAGTTTAGCAATCAAAACATTGTTGTTTTATGTCTCTGGAGCAAATCTCTTTTATATGCCATCCCTCATACTTTTCTGATTGAGTTAATTAGTCGTTCTGTAGATTTCACAAATCCAAGTTAAGCATAGCAAGCAATACATTGGATGGATACGATATTCAAAGTGGATGATTTTTATATTCGGCTGAGTTTGTTTTGTCAAGTTCGCCAATATGTACCTCTGTCACTATCGTCTCTCTCTGTTGCTCCTCTCTTTCTCTTTAAAAGGAGAGAGAACATTGGAATAAATCACAGTTAATAGCACAATACACTTTTACTGTTACGTCAATCAGTTAACAAAGAAAAGCTCAAAATCTCATTGCAAAAAGTACGGTTTTTATGAAGAGTATAGCGTGAACTCATGGTACAATGTTGTGCGAAGCAAATATTTTTAAAACATTTTTGTAGCATGAATGATTAACTTGATGTTGTTCTCTATATCTGTTTTGTGTTGTGTGAAACGTGACAGTATTACATGTATGTTAACGTATGAAAGAAGAAGAAAAAATTGTTCATACATATGATCAAAAATAGGGACTAAAATTTGAGTCATTTTTTAAATTAATAAATTCAATCAACGTAGTCGAAGTCGATTAAATAATTAATAAGATAAAATTGGGTGAAACTCCCAGCTTCTCCGAGTCTGCAAGCTTGAGTAGTAGTTATTGCGTGATGGATACTTCATCAAAAATATATCTCATTGATTATTTAATTGGGATTGAGTACATGTATTTCATTCATCTCCAGAAATAAAGATTCATATTATGTTCTCTGTTCATGAACATGGGTATGAATAATTTTACTTTTCGTTTGCTTTTCTGTCTGAACATATATTTATATACTGTTATGTGTTAGACAACTAAAAAAGCTATGTGGAACAATATCAATCTAATCGTTTGTTTAGGAGATAAATGTTTTCAAAAAAAATTGATTGCCACAACAATATCTAGTGTGTTCATAGTTTGGAGTAGAATTGAATAATAAAAAAATGTGCTGTCTTCTCTATGAGGATAGAAATAAACATTGACATAGTGTTTCAGTCTCGTGTACGGCTGTATAGATACAGGGTGATCAGGAAGGTATACAACAAATGAAAACATTTGTATCACAGCAACTACGATAGGCAGCGGCCTCTATTTTTCATTGTTGTAAACCTGAATAGTCGCCATTGTTTTCGCACTAATCAAACTTACTTAATTGTATCGATTTTAATCATGGTAGAATTAGAGCCAGAAAAACGTTTTTTTAAATTAAAAATTACTATCAACGAGGAGAAAGTATTGAATATGCTCGTAAAGCGTTCAACACGAAGTATGGCAAAGACTTAGCACCTCATCGTGACACAGTCAAACGGTAAATAAAACGTTTAAATTGTTTTTTAAATTAACAATTCTTTTAATTTTAACAATAGTTTAATTGAAAAATTTGAGACAACAGCAAACACGAATGATGTGCGGCCTCAATCAACTGGCCGACCATGAGTTGTGACTGGTGATGAAAACATTTTAAAAGTCGAACAGTATTTTTAACAAAATCCAACCACATCAATTCGTCGGGCAGCTCAAGCTTTGAACATAAAACGTGAAAGTTTGCGCATAATCACACGTTATTTTGTATACCTTTCTGGTCACACTGTAAAAAAACTTTTTTCTAGCTCTAATCCTGCCATGATTAAAATCGATATAATTAAGTAAGTTCGATTAGTGTGAAAACAATGGCGACTATTCAGGTTTACAACAATGAAAAATAGAGGCCGTTGCCTATCGTAGTTGCTGTGATACAAATGTTTTCATTTATTGTATACTTTCCTGGTCACCCTGTATCTATAATACAACTTTTCTGTATATAGGTATTGTATTAGTTGATGCAAGTGAAAGAATATAATGCAATTTCAGCGAAGATGACATGAATGCTGAAAATCAAAACATGACAATCGTTTATTGCTCTATTATGTAATAGACATCGAACTATGCTTGAAATAAATATGCAATGAAATTTTAATATAAGCAAAGTTCCATCACGTTTTTTTCCGTATTCGAAAAGGTCATGTATTTATTAAACCACAGATTTTATCATAATTTGATCATTGTACAGCAGTTTTTATGCATCACGTTACTATCAGAAGATATACGTCTTGTGTAGAAATATGAAGATGAATGGAAACAAAGACAAAACTTCCACCAGCACGTTCACTGAAAAGAGAAAAAGATATAACAGCTCTGCCTATAAAAGGCTGTGATTTCAATCTCGTAGCATTCATTTCAACCGAATCAATTGTAAGATACTTTGCTAATAGTGCAGAGTAAATATTTCAAATGCACAATTAAAAAAAAGAATTCTATTTTCTTGGAGAAAATTAGTCATATGATTTCTGTTCGTCTATAACTACAAGAACTTCTGTACGGTATTCGCTTTTTGGATTGCATATTATAGTTAGTAAGTATTTACGAGTCTGATCGTTAGCCAGCATACGATTTCGTCGTATGGCGACTACGAGTCTGGTCTTTAACCAGCATACGATTTTGCTGTATGGCGACTACGAGTCCACTTTGATAGTGCTATCATGGTTAGTGAAAGAATCACTAGACCCATAAATGATTGCAATTGCCATGGATCAAAAGATGTCATTAAAAGCATTCATGTAGTTCCAAAATCATGTAGTCAGTTGAGTTCATGGGGAATTTGAATTTGCGGCAAATTCAAAATGCTTATACCGCTATACCACTATAGCGGTACAGTGGTATAGCGGTAGAGCGGTATAGCGGTATAGTGGTATAGCGGCATAGCGGTATAGCGGTATAAGTATCCTTATACCGCTGTATCTCTATAGCTCCTTTAAAGACAAAGAAATCTCTTACCGAAGGGTACAGCCACCTGAAGAGTAGCCCTTCAAAGATACCACCTTCTGGGTACCTTTTCAAGGGCACCCTCAAGGGTACCCTCCTCAGCCCCACTTTGTTGTCCCTCAGGGTACCCCAAAAGGGTACTCTTCTCACCCTCTCTTAGTTGTTCCTCAAGGGTACCAGCAAGGGTACCCTTCTCACCCTCACTTTGTTGTTCCCCAAGGTTATCTTCCTCATCCTCAAGATGCTTCTCTACCTCTATATAATGAATTTGTCGCAAATTCATTTTTTTTAAAGAAAATGAATTTATCGCAAATTCAAGTTCCCCATCATATGTACAATGGATGTGTCAACTGTAGCTACTATTATTGGTTTATTCTTACCATGGAAAGAGGTGATCGAACGTTTACAAGCGACTAATACACAATCTCTCCATCTGGTAGTTACATCTTACTGGTATCTTCTCGAAAGTCTGGTAGTGACGAACGATGAAGTAGTTGATAAAGCAGCCCAAGGTAAATCATTCTTTAAAAAACAAGTGAGTAAAAATCTATTTTTTTTACAGGTGTTGTCTTTTTTAAAAGACATGCACGACAATTATTAAAAGCAATGTTCTCTTTGCACGATCTACATTGGATCGTTGCAATACGCAATCCACATACAAGAATGCTTAAACATGCTACTGATGTTGAACGTGCACATGCATATTGTCTAGTGCGAGCTAAAGTAGCTAAACTTATGGAAATAGCACAGATTGATAATAATGAAGAAGTATTATCTCCAGCAACTATTAGTTCAACACTATCACCTCGCAAAAAGTTGAAGTCCTACACAACACAATTTCATGATGACACAGATTTAGGTGAAAGAAGTAGCAATATGACAATTGCAAAACGTGCTCGTCGTGAATTAGAAATCTATTTACAACTGAAATTAACTAATTGTAAATGTTTAAATGATGATATTGACAATCCATTGTTGTTCTGGAAAGAACAAGAACATGTACTACCCAATATGCCACGATTAGCAAAACAAATTTTTTCCATTCCTACCTCTTCAGCTGCGGTAGAACGCGAATTCAGTTCAGCCGGTATTGTTGTATTACAGAGAAGAATCAATATCAATCCATCTACAGTTAATGATATTATACTTATTCGATCGGCTGCAGCTTAGTTAAAGACCCATACATAGACTCCACTTAAGTTTTTTTTTGTAAAAAGTGATTATTTATAAAAGGAATGTAATATTAAAAATAAAGCATTTGGTAAATACAAAATTTCTTCGGATTCTCATAAAGAATATCCACAGGGTTCGGGCATGACGGGTTTGCGAATTTTATGAAGCGGGCCCTGTGGTGCATGAAAAACTAATGCCCCGCACATCTCTAGTTTAAACTAAAAAGATTATATTAAGATAACTGAATAGTAAAGTTGAAAGTACCTACCTCTCATTTCGCAAGATGTTAAAATTGCATCCTCAGTGAAACATTTGATAGAGTTATAGAGACAATTGCCATTTGCAATGACGTCAANGTTTTTTGTGGGTTTCCCCCACCCGGCCCCCTCCCCCCCCCCCCCCCCCCCTTGACAGCTGCAATCGAGCTAACTTTTCAATGGCTCAAGCAAAGGCTCCAAAATTTTGGATTTAATGGTTTCAGATGATGCTGAACAAGATGAGAACATAAAAACAAAAATCATGATTTTATCCAGTACTTCGATATCTGCCACGGTACTCGATCATCTCACGGAGTTTCTTAAAAGCTTGAAGCTTCCTCATGGAAGAATCAATTTTGTAAAATAAGATCTGAAACGAATGTTGAGCTCTTTAGGGGTAGAAATTTGGATCTACCTCCCTTTCCTCCCCACGAACCGTGACAGAAAAGGTCTAGAATTTGTTTATCGTCTCTCGTTTAAGTTAGTAAATATTTCTTTTGCCTTTTAAACCTTAATTACTAAATTATCGTGTATATGACTATTGATTCATGGATTCCAAGTTCAACTTGACTTTGCTTGCAAACGAGACAAAACTGAAGTTTTGTTAATTATTCTTTTATTACAAACAAACAAAATATTACGCATTGTCGTCAAGAATAGTATCATTCATTACACTGCAGGAAACGGAACGCTCTTGTTGTATCTTACTCCGTTTTAAAAGTTTTTATTTTTGATGTTGAAGTTTTTTTTCATACACCTATTTTCAAAAATATCATTCATATAACACAGTAATCGATACCTTCCCTGGAGCGTTTATTTTATTGGGGAACTCACGTATATTTTCGAAGAAAATAGTCAGTGTAAGTTTTAAGGCCAAGGTTTTCCGGCTCTTCTCCTGCCACCCCATTACAGACAGGCCACTATTCCAGACCTCAGCAACCGTACACAATTCAGATCCTATACAATTTTCTAATGCATTCACAATTATTCGAAAAGAAAACTATTTTTCAGTTTAAAAATAATGCATTAAGATAACGACTCGAAAGCACATACGTGAGTTCCATATTTCAGCTAGAAAGGGGCTGCGCTGACAAACTTTAGCACTTGCTTTCTTTATATACTTCTCCAGTTATTTGTGAAAAGAAAAATTCTACAACTGTTTTTTTCATTTTCATTTTCGTTTCCTCTTCATGAAATTAAAGAAGACCATAGCAATCTTCATTGGGCTTGACCTTGGAAATAATAAAAATGTCTATAAAACAATTTGAAATAAAATATTGCCTCTTTATTAGGCACAAAACCAGATTTAACTAAAAAAATTAAGAGTAAATAATTCGAAAAAGATAAGTTAGTGACCAAATTCTCAGTACAAAAATGCATGTCTTAGTTAACTTATGACAAAAAAATATAAATGAAACAGGAAAGTGGCAATATTTATCATGATACTTTTTCCTTTTCTTCGCTATGAAACTAATAGTAATGGCACGGATCATTTTTGATAATTTGCATACATGATGATCTTCAGCCGCCAGCGAAGAACGGTCTTGAGTGGTGTTTATCAGCTGTGAATGTTCACTTGTAAGATAGAATTCGTGGCAAAAAAAAAGAATCGTAATCGTCTGAAACGATTTTTACAGAAATTCGATGAACCATCGGATGCAATTACCAAAGCCTACCGAAAGCAATGGTCTCAAAATACGTCTGCAATGAGTATTGTAGTTTAGTTCGAAGTTGCCACCCGAATTAAGAATATGATCGAACTGGCAATACACTCTAGAGCTAAGATGCCAACTGCGGACAAATATCGAACGCAAGTGTTATAAAGATGAGTACTGCTACATCAAAAGCTTTGGAATGGTACAGAACAATGAGTAATAACTGAACGACAATTTCGGCTTGACAGAGCCAATACTAAATAGAACCACCTTGGCAGATCTTGGTTTTAAGCTCGAAGTAGATAATGTAACTTATTCTGTCGTTTGAGAATGTAAGTTTTGTCGAAAGCTGACTTCCCACCAAGACAAATAACAGAATGATGATTTGAACTGCAACNNNGACTTTTTGAGAAAAAAAATTTTCTAAAACACCTGAAATTTTTTCAAACAAGATTTTTTTCAGATTCCTGGTAACTTGACTAGGCCTCTTATTTACTATGTATCTTGTATTATCAGTGCATAGTACATAAAGTACGCGAATGCTACAAGTGTCGTAGAAAAAAGATAGTACAAGTTGTACTTGTATTTGCGCAGCCCTCATTTTCAGACTTTTATTTCAAAGTCTTGCAAGCTGGGTATCATTTAGCATGCGTATACTAACTAATCCTTCTACTATCTCAATAATTAATTAAATATTAGAGAAATCTCTATTACACTCGATGTAATTTTTCTCCAAGTGAAGAGAAAAATATATTATTGGAGATTTTTATAATACATAGAGGAGAAAAGTGATAGCTCATATGAAAATTTAATGTAAGCACTAATGAAAAAACAGAAAATGATAAGTGTTGGTTTTCTGTATTGTGAACAATTTTATGCTATTGATCTTCGATTTGTGTCGGTGGATACTAAAATTGGTGTGGATCGCAACTGCTATTTTGAAAGCTACCATCCTTAATGAGATCACGTTTCATAAACGATGGTCTCTAATAGAAAAAGTCATAGAGAAAAAAAATTTTTGGCAAGTAAAACGAATATTTTCATTTTGTTATGCTCTATCGCTCGAACCTTTCGTCGTGTCCTGCCTTGGTGCTCCAGCAACCCACACCCTGCCGAGCGGCAAGACAGAATCAAAATGTTAGTTTCTTCGTGTCCTGTACTCATCTCTGAAAATCAAGCATTACTATTATTAGTGAATAAAATTACAATATGTAAAGACTACAGCTGTTTAGAATCGTTAGAAAGATGAGCCCTAGTTATTATTGTAATCCTAGTCTAACTGTATAAGATTTTCCTCGGTATTTTTTCTATTCAGCTTTTCTGTGATAAAAAATCGACATGAAATAAATTTTTTTCATTTCAATCACTCAATCACTTAATATTAAGGAATTAAGTGGTTAAGTGGAAAAACTTAATTTTAATATTAAGTGTTAATGTAATCACTTAATTTTAATATTAAGTTTTAAGTGATTCACTTAATTTTAAAATTAAGTGATTAAGTGATTTTCAAAAACTTAATTTTAAAATTAAGTGTTAAGTGGTTCACTTAATTTTAATATTAAGTGTTAAGTGATCTATGAACACTTAATATTAAGTGTTAAGTGGAAAACTCAATTAAGTTCATTAATTAAGTCCCGTTAAAAAAATGTCCCACCCCTAAACTGTAGTACAACTTTTTCATACACAAGTAAAAAGGCCGATAGTAAACGTAACGATAGACGGAAACCAAATCGAATTACTCAGAGAATTCAATACCTAGGTTTTACTTAGACGGATAAACTATCATTGAAACCAACAATCGAAAAAGCGATAGGAAATATTCAGAGATCGCTAGGAAAACTAAAATGGATGAAATCTGGTTGCGAAATGTTATGTAAAGCTCTCCGGCAATGTTTTTTCGCATTCATGCTCCCTCATTTCGCTTGGTTATTCCCACTTTTTCCACTCCTCTCAGAATCTCAACAAAATATAGTGCAACAAAAACTCCGTGTGGGACTTCGGCTGGTGCATTGCTGCCCTTTCGTTTCTGCTCAAAATCTATTCAATGTCACCCCAGAACAATCCTTAAAATTTTATATTAAAAAATATATTCAACGAAGACTAAAGACCATTTTCACAATTGATCTTGGTTCTTCATTGTTCTGTGAAGATATTTTTATTTGGGACAACTTTTATAAAAGAAAAAATGATTATCTTGGGCATTTTTTTTGTTTACGTCGCGCTCGGCAATTGAAAGATCGATATGAGTCTTTCCTTTTGAAATGGTTGTCCTTTGTTGATGTGAATGAATATCACAGAAAGACGCTTAAATGTAATGCTTATGCAATTTTCTTTTTCGTTTTTGCTCTCTTTCTTATTTCTTTTTATCTCGCGTCGTTTCTCTTGGTTTGTTCTTCGTCTTTTTTCGAGTTGCTCGCTCTACTCACGAATCCTCGCTGCTACTCATCATCAGTACTTCTCTCACTATCGTCCTCTTCTCTTTCTTTTATTCTTGGTTTATTCTTTTCTTTTTCATTTATTTACTCTCTAAATATCCTCATATACAGAATTTGGGACTCAGTATAACATATTGTTGGCACAAATTGTAACGCTTTGCTTTAATAATGTACTATTTCGCTTATACATCTATAATTCTCTCTTTTATTATGTAAGCACTTCCGAGTGTTACACTCACGAGCATAATAAAAAAAAAAAATCAGTCCACACGAAGGTTTTTTCTTTGTTCTGATTGCACCACGCTTCATCATGCCAAAAAACGACTGTTCCATTGTTTCGCAGTTCATCGATTTTCGAAAAGTAACGTGCACGAGCTGCCATATAGAACGAAGGATCAACAGGAACAACAAGTTTCGATGCCCTTTTACTCCTAAAACCTCACTTCTTCATCCACCGCCATAATGACGATGTCGTACGGATCGGAAAATCAGGTTCGTCACTCAAAATTCGACTGAGAACTTTATCTAAGGTTGGGTAGATCTGCTCAGCCAACATCAGATGAACGTGATAACTATAAACAGTGTACATATATTAAATTGTTTATTCTGGTGAGTGTGCTTACCGAACATTTTCTTTTTGATTTTCTGTC